AAGTTGTAGCATGTCGCGTCTTGTAGTTCTTGGCGTGTGTGAGTGTGTGTGTGTGTGTGTGGATATTGTATGTTTGCGTGTTTACTCATGTTCAGTAAGTGTAAGAATCAATGTAATCCTGTGATATCGTCTCATGTACACATGAATAACTTCTCATCCAATCCACAATCATATCTTTAAATACATCTGGGGGGCCGGGCCCTGAAAAACCCAGTGAAGCATAAAAATGGATTATTTTAAATCCAATCTAGTTGAATTATGGGGGCATTGAAACCTTTTCGACTGGAAACCCAGATAAAATCATAGAAAATCCTTCCAACCCTTCCTCCCTCCACCCTCCATACCCGTATTTAAACAATTTACAATGTAGAGTATTTTCTCCATCCCCATTCCATCTTACCCTAATCTACAATTCTAGGCAAGTTTCTGCTTTGAAATATTTTAGTTTTTAAGTAAAATATATTTGTTTTTGCCTAACCACCCCCAACAGTTTACTTGGCCCAACTAAAAAAAGTTCAATCCATGCCATATGAGTAACCCTATATTTTAATACGAGTAACTCAACTCTTACTATGAGTAACACAACCCTTACCATAAGTAGCCCAACCCTTACTATGAGTAGCCCAACCCTTACTATGAGTAGCCCAACCCTTACTATGAGTAACCCAACCCTTACTCTGAGTAACCCAATCCATACTATGAGTAATCCAACCCATACCATAAGTAGCCCAACCCTTACTATGAGTAACCAAACCTCTTACTGTGAGTAACCCAACCCTTACTATGAGTAACCCAATCCATACTATGAGTAACCCAACCCATACCATAAGTAATCAAACCCTTACTATGAGTAAAACAACCCTTAATATGAGGAACCCGACCCTTACTATAAGTAACCCAACCCTTACTTTGAGTAACAAAACCCTTACTAAGTAACTCTACACTAACTATGTGTAACCAAACCCTTATTATAAGTACCCAACCCTTGCCTTGATCAGCCCTTACTATGAATAACCCAACCCTTCCTTTTAATAACCCAACCCTAGTTGTAAATACTGAGTAACCCAAAACCCTTACAATGATTGACATTACACATACTATAAGTTATCCAAGCCTAGCTCCCAATCCAAAAAGTATTTTCAATCTTATACTGTAGCATCCTGTCAAAAAAAGGATCAAATATCTGAAATAATTCCAGCATCCCCCCCCTCCCCCCCCTCCCCCTTCCTTTTTGATCCCGGGTCGATATTTTGATTATATTAGAGCTGTGAGAAAGAAACTATAGAATAAAGATTCTCCTTTATCTCCCTTTATATATAATTATAAACTGTCAAAACCTTAATTTTCTTGAAATTTTGCACGTGCGCATCAAAACCATATCCTTGCATCCATATACACTATACACACTATGCACGGGTTCATGGAACCAATTATATTAGACATGGATTAAATAATGAAAGATGGATAGATGAAAAAAAAGAAAAAAAAGATACCAATCTTGAAAAAAGTCTATTAGAAAAAAGCACAGTACCAACATTAAACCTTTTGTAGAAGTATGATTTTGTGTGATTTTTAAAATGTTTTCAACATGAATTTGTGCCAGTTTGCGTAGAAAAAAATAAAAACTGCTATGAATCTGAGAAAGCTTTGATAGAGCTCGAATAGAATCTTTAAAGCTAAAAATCTGCTAAAAACTGAAATAGTTGCTCAAAGGCTGGAATAGCTGCTTCAAATCAGAAATAATTGGTACAAACCTGGAGTAGCTGGTAAAAAGCCGAAATAGCTGTTATGAGGCTAAATTAGCAGCAAAAACATGGAATAGCTGGTATTTAGCTGGAATAGCGGGTATTTTGTTCAAGTAGCTGCTAAAAATCCGGAACAGCGGGTTTAAAGGTGGAATAGCTGTTAAAAAGCTGGAATAAATGGAATGAAGCTGATATAACTGGTGTAAAGCTAGAGTAACTGATATAAATCTGGATTAACTGATAATAAGCTGGATTAATTGGAATAAAGCTGGAATATCTGGCATAAAGCTGGAATAACTGGTATGAAGATGAAATAACTGGTATAAAGATTAAATAACTGGCAAAAATCATAAATAACTTGTATAAAGCTGGAATTATTGGTAAAAAGCTGGAATTATAGGTATAAAGCTGAAATAACTGGTATAAATCTGACATACTTGGTATACAGCTAGAATAACTAATATAAAGCTGGAATAACTGATATAAAGCTGGAATAACCGGAATAAAGCTGGAATAACTGGTATAAACATGAAATAACGAGTATAAAGCTGGAAAACATGGTATAAAACTGGAATAACTGGTGTAAAGATGAAACCTGGAATAACTGGTATAAAGCTGGAATAACTGGTATAAAGCTGGAATAACTGGTATAAAGATGAAATTACTGGTATAACCCTGAAATAACTGGTATAAGGCTGGAATTAATACTGTAAAGCTAGAATAAATGATGTATAACTGTAACGAATGGATCGGATAATGTCTCCTGTATTAAAAAAATATATTTAACTACGCCACCCCATATTGTAATGATGGGGGATTCTATGGATTTCTCCGGCATGCTCCGTAGTCAATACTCATCATCGATAATACTGGAGAGGTTTAGTGATTATTTGGAAGTTGGATATATGTATGTAAACATAAATTGGCATATTTGTACTAGAGTTGCTTTTCAATAAATACTTATGTACATGTACATTGTACATTTATGCATGAACCTTTCATATATATATACTCATACATACAATACATGCAAACAAACTATAAATACCTATATTGATATATTCCTTATATATTTATAAGAACCCTGAGAAGGGTTTGAAGAAAGGTTTCCCTGTACCCTGGAGATACACTATATATGTTTACATACAGGATTAAAGGCTCCAACCCCACTCTTTACTTGTATTAACCATATTCAGGGGGGTAGGGGGGGGGGGATTTTTATGTTAAACTTCTTTTATTTCCTGATGTGAACCCGGTTGGTAATAATCTCACATTTGGTGTAGCGTCCCATTTTGTCGTCTATAATACGATAATGTATATATTCTATATTGTATACAACTTGCTCTCGCTAGTTAAAAGTCCATTCTGTACTTAATTCAAATGACCCGAAGTTTTCGATTGAATAAAGGTTCACCGACATATGGTCAAGCGACTTAGGGTCAAACGACAAACGGTCAAAAACGCGACAAAGGGTCAAAATGAAAAAGAAAGATATTTTATTTATTATTTCAGAATTAGGTTAGGTTAAGACAATTTCAACAGGCTAGGGGGCAGAGCGCTCTGGCTACTAGTTCTTATGAGCATAGGGTTAGGCTAGGTTAGGTTAGGACAAGCTAGGGGGCACAACGCTGCGGCTAGAAGTTCAAATGAACATAAAAATAGAAGAAAAGTATGTTTCATTTCAGGTTTAGGTTAGGTTAGGTTAGGTACAGGTTGGTGGCCGAGCGCTGCAGCTGCTAGTTCTCATTTACACAGAAATAGTTCAAATTGACCAAAAAATAGTCTAATTGAAGTTTTGCCTTTTGTCACACTTTTTGACCATTGTCGTTTGACCCTATGTCGTTTTACCCTATGTCGGTTAATCAATTAATAAATTAAAAAGATATGATTGACCTAAAGAACAAAAAAAGATATACAAAACCGAAAATGGATGAAAAATTGATGTAAATTTAAATGAAGATATTGAGAAGCATGAAAATTAATTAATTAAATAATTGTAGGAATTAAACCTAAAGAAATACAAGAAACTAATAGTAGAAGATATGAACAAAATAAAAACACGCCAAAGATTGAAAAGAAGAATATGTATCGATTGCGTTCAAGGTGTAGAAATAGACCGGAGACAATTGTGGTTCACGTTCTAACTTCCTTCTTTATTGATGAAAGTAAGGAATGTTTTGTGATGGTGTAATCCTCGAGTTTATCCCATCCCCCTCACCTCGCATCCCTCCCGCTTAGCCCCCTCCCTGCTCCCATCCCCCCCCCCACAAGGATCTATTAGATGTATGAAAGAACTCAACAAAGTGGAAGATCCGATAAAAACCAAAATATTGCGACAATTTAAAACTATTTTTAAACTATTTGAATAATAACACTCTCAGATATTTTAAATTACTATATAAAGTTTGAGAGAGATGGAAGGGAGAGAAGGGATTGAATCTGAGATGTTTGAGAATGTTTGAGAATCTGAGATGTTTGAGAATGTTTGAGAATCTGAGATGTTTGAGAATGTTTGAGAATCTGAGATGTTTGTCCCATGAAAAAGTTGTTTTTATTACATTTTCCAAAAAAAATTAAACAGTTTTACAACGTTTTGAAAAATCGTTTTGGTTGATATCTTTGGTCAGAGAATTAAGCAAACTTATTGAGAGCTAGCTTGAGCTTTGTCAATGATACTCATAAATACTTCCACCGTTTACCCGCGCTTGGTAGTAAATTACGATTTGATCTATTTTTCCTTATAAAAACGGACCCGCTTAGAATCTAAAAACCAAGCTAAGAATATTACCGTAGTTTTTCCGAGCTCCTCATGCAATAAAACAATACAACTTTGAAGAAAATCGGTCAAGGGGGTTATGATCGGACATAAAAACAGACAGACAGACAAACAGAGATTACAACTTTATATATCTAAATAAAATGCTGAAAAAGGGAAAGGGAGGAGGGAAGGAGGGGGGGTGGAGGATGATGGGGAAGTCACATTTCCATCTGTTTAAAATTAGTTTAAAGTTTAATTGTGTGTCGCTGGGATATGAATGATTATGACAAATTATATTATAAAAATTGTTTCCTCTCAGGGGAGAACGCAAACTTTTGTTGAAAAAACAATTAGCATAACTTTAATAAAACTTTGTAAGCCTATGATATCCTGTCTGATCCAGGAGCTTGAAAATGTAAAAGATCAATATAGGTTTCGAACATTCCAACAATTTAAATTTCAAACTTGGGAGTTTTATTGAATTCCAATATGGCGGTTTAATATTGAACAATGTTTAATTGTTCTCTGACTGAAATGAGAGCAGTTTATCTTCTCATTCTACTTTACTCTAAGGTTTCATAAGTTTTATTTTGGAAAGATGAGTCTGCTTATATTAAACCTAGTTTCGATAATTGTAGATATCTGTACAATTTGTGATAAAAATAAACCCAGTTTCGATAGATTTCACGTTCTTAGATGTCTTGCTTAATTTTATTTATTGCTACTGACAGTTTATGAAAAAAAGGTATTTTGAGTACAAATAGAAATAAAGTTTTATCAAAATAGAAGTGTATTTAAAATTACAGATTAATTTTATTCAAAACAATTCAAAAATATAAATATAAATATTTCCATTTTCCAATACGTTACAATTCGCAAGGTACAATACAGAACTTATTGAATTAAACTTTTATATGGTCTTTACGATGTGCCTGTAAAGAGAATTTCTTTCTCCGCCTGCAAACCGGTTTTTCATCACAGCGGAACTGGCCTGTGATTGTGTGAGAAAGCACGCAGTAAAAACCTTTACAGAAACATAGGATAGGATTTAACAAGCACTTTTTGGTTCATCATTAAATTAGTGATAAACTTTACGTTTTTTGAATTATAAATAAATTTTTTTGTTTTTGTTTTAGGTTTCCCATGCATTCTTCTTCCCCTCGCCGTTAGAATTAGCAGCAAATTTATTCTACTCAGTAAGTACATTTTATATTATCAATAGCTAGAGAACCCAGCATTGACTGGAACCTGAACTACCTCTAGAAGTCAACATACAAAATTTAAATTGTTTACACTGAGCTAAGGCTATTTATGAGGTTCCAACGAAATATCCAATCAAAATTTGATTGTTCATAGTTCTATAAAACAAGGTCGAAAACTAATTTTGGTTTTGGTATTTCTCATTTGTTTTAAGTCAAATAAATAAAATTATCTTTGTTACGAAGGATACCGCTCAGAACCCAGACCAGCAGAGCTCTAATGTGAAACCTGAACTTATCCAAGGAGATATGGTTCCATCCCTTCATCCCCATCCAACCCAGGTATAGTAGGTTCTATACAACTAGGAGATATGGTTCCATCCCTTCATCCCCATCCAACCCAGGTATAGTAGGTTCTATACAACTAGGAGATATGGTTCCATCCCTTCATCCCCATCCAACCCAGGTATAGTAGGTTCTATACAACTAGGAGATATGGTTCCATCCCTTCATCCCCATCCAACCCAGGTATAGTAGGTTCTATACAACTAGGAGATATGGTTCCATCCCTTCATCCCCATCCAACCCAGGTATAGTAGGTTCTATACAACTAGGAGATATGGTTCCATCCCTTCATCCCCATCCAACNTATTTCTAGGAAAAGAACCGTGGATTAATGAATATTTCTAGGAAAAGAACTGTGAACTAATGAATATTTCTAGGAAAAGAACCGTGGATTAATGAATGATGAGACTGAAGAATCTAGGAATGGAAATCTTGATGATAGATGGGAATACAATACCTGGCCCTATGAAGTAGATTGGAAAAAGGTTGAAAAAATCTAACAACTTATTTATATACAGTGAAACCCTTAAAAACGAATACATCGGAAGAATTTATCAAATGTCGTCTTGACAATTTTTCAATGAGTTTTATACTATATTACGTAAATTTCAGTATTTGCGAAAATAAATAAATAGCCATGAATATGCGGGAACAGTTTTAAAGAGTTCCATATAATCATTTATTTAAAAAACTAAATATCTGCAACATTCCATTATCTGAAAGTGAAGAATACGACATTTGATCAATTCTTACGATGTATTCGTTATTAAGGGTTTCACTGTATCATTTTGGTAATTTTACGCACAGATAAAATTTATCATAAACTTATTGATATATTGAAGATTTTTTATAATTTGTTTTTACCTGGCTCCACTAGTCCATGATACTTTTCTAATAACCATTTAAACTTTTATTTGTTCTCAGGAGCATTTTCTTACAGCATTATCTGGAATGTTTTCCCTATTAGTGAATTGTCAAGATTTAAGAATATAAATATGAATGTTTGAGTAAATATTACAGAATCCTGAGGCCGAATTCAAAGCTGCGTCTCAAACATTGTTCAGCTTGAAATTAAATTTAGTGTTTCGAGATTTGAGTCGGCGCCCAATTGGAACCGGTTTTTGGCGGTTCAGTGACGCGGTTTAAATTTCTTTGAATTCGGCCTCTAACCGTTTATGAACAACTATGGATTAGAACGCTATCCATTCCAAAAATTTGAGCCCAATCGAGTTGGCCTTTTCAACATTAAAACAAATTAATAGATGACAAATTCTAACTTCTCTACATATTATAGGTTCCTAAAGAGTTCCGGTCCTGGGTAAAAATAAAATTTAACTATGTTGTAAATATTGAATACAAGTAAATATATTTTTTTTTAAGTGAAGGGGGGGGGGTACAAGTTCGTCTTCCTTCATTTTAAAAAATATTTCGTAACACATTTATTGTTTTTTCCTTTCTATTTGATTTAAGAAAAAAAAGATTTTTGGTTTTGCAGCAAATTATATTAAACTGGAATTATCAAAAATATGTTTTTTTACACTTTGCTAAAGTTATGAGCGCCATCTATTTTATAAAATTGGCAAAACTATTATCTAAAAAGTATTAGTAAAAGTTAAAAACCATAAGTCGGAACTATTGTGTGGAGTGTAGATCATCTTAAACATACGCTTGATCTTGATATTTAATGTGAGCACTTTTAAATGCCAACCACGGGAATATTGACGAGGGATTAAATTGATTCCGAGTTCTACATAAGATGAAGATCAATGCTTGATCCCAAGATTTCCAAAGATTGGAACTATTGTTTAGTTGTGGATATCAAGATCAATTGTTAATATGTAGATAATTTAAATATTTATTCGATATTCCGCATGGTAATCGTACCCAGTCAGGTGTTAAAGGCAGCTTTGATCAGGGAAAATTAACTAAAATGAAGAGATTAAGCATTGATCCTCAAATCAAGAGTGGTAAAGGGGGATATCTAGATCAAGCAATCTAGGCTATGAGTATCCAACACGAAAGTTCCCAGCTCAGATCTAATACAAGTCTATTCTAATCAGGAATAAACTGGGAGACTGTATTCATCTTTGCGAGAGATCATCCTGTCCTAAACATATTCGTAATTCAGGGAACTATGTCAAAATTACGTAAGTTATTCTATATCCAACTCTTCTTAAACTATGTTAAGATTAAGTAAGTTATTTTATCCAACACTTCTTAAACTATTTCAAGATTAAGTAAGTTATTTTATCCAACACATCTTAAACTATGTTAAGATTAAGTAAGTTATTTTATCCAACTCTTCATAAACTATGTTAAGATAAAGTGAGTTATTCTATCCAACACTTCATAAACTATGCCAAGATTAGGTAATTTATTCTATAAAACTCTTCTTAAACTATGTCAAGATTGAGTAAGTTATTCTATCCAACTCTTCATAAACTATGTTAAGATTAAGTAAATTATTTTATCCAACTCTTCTTAAACTATGTTGAGATAAAGTAAGTTATACTATACAACACTTCTTAAACTATGTTGAGATAAAGTAAGTTATTCTATCCAACACTTCTTAAACTATGTTAAGATTAAGTAAGTTATTCTATCCAACACTTCTTAAACTATGTTAAGATTAAGTAAATTATTCTATCCAACTCTTCTTAAACTATGTTAAGATTAAGTAAGTTATTCTATCCAACTCTTCTTAAACTATGTTATGATTAAGTAAGTTATTCTATCCAACACATCTTAAACTATGTCAAGATTAAGTAAATTATTCTATCCAACACTTCTTAAACTATGTCAAGATGAAGTAAGTTATTTCATCTAACATTTCATCAACTATGTCAAGATTAAGTAAGTTTTCATCCCATCCTAATAATTAGGTTTCATCCCATCCTAATAATTAGGTTTTATCTCATCCTAAAAACTAGGTTTCATCCCATCCTAAAAATTGAGTTTGATCCTATCCTAATCATCAGGCATGATCCTATCCTAATGATCAGGTTTGATCCTATCCTAATGATCAGGTTTGAACCTATTCTAATGATCAGGTTTGACTAATGATCAGGTTTGAACCTATTCTAATGATCAGGTTTGATCCTATCCTAATGATCAGGTTTGAACCTACTGGATGTTGGTCTAGTGTAGGGATGGAGAAAGGAGAACAAGTTGTAAATCTTCAATTTCCAACATGTATCGGAAAGTAGGAATATTTCCATTTTTTCAAATTTTTTTTGTTCTTAATTTATCAGAAAAATTCTCTGATTTTTCGATGCAATTTCTTTAAAGGGACTGGTGACCTAATTTCAAGTGACCTTCCATTTGTAAAGTGGAATGCCCAATTCACAACAGTACCCTTTAAACATTTTAAATGGACTGATCAAATCATCAGAAACGATTGTAATTTTTTAGTTTTGTAGTTTATTGCCAATTCAAACATCATTTTAGAGATAATCACAAGTCTCTTGAAGCATAAGTTGTTAAAAACCCATCAGTCAGGTTTTATTCTTTTAATGGAGAAAGTAAGGGAACCATGGCACACGAGATAATGCACTCTCTGGGGTTCTACCATGAACAGTCCAGGTAAAAATATTGTCCGGACAGGTCGTCTTCTATTACAAGAACAGACTCGTTTATGGAATAACGAGGACGACAGCAAATGTAAAACTTTTAATGAAATTGAAAAAAATGTAAAATTAATTGAAGCTTGAAAGTTTGTTGACTACAATTTAGTGATAGAACTTTAAAACTTAATCAAAAGATTGTAGTATTTTTTGCTTTTTCAAAACAAGGTTTGGGCCATATATACGAATTAAAAAGAATTAAAAGAATAGTAGCTGGTATACAAATGTATTGCTTATTTCGAATGATTGCTTCAGGCCAGATAGAGATGGATACGTTAAGATTGTTATGGGTAACGTTAAGTCCGGAAAGGTGAGTTGATTTTTGGGAAAAGTTCCCACATAGTGATGGTAAAGTTAATTTTTGTAAGGAATATTAATAAGAAAATTAAGCAGGTCCAGGAAAAAGAAGGGAGCATTAAAAACAGATCCAGTAAGAAGGAGTTGATTGGGGGGGGGGGGGGGTTAAAGTTGATAAAAAATAAAGGATCAAATAGGTTTAGGTAATTCAATTTGCAATTCAATTTAGGGTGAGATAGAAAATAATAAAGTAGAATAAATATTTGAACAAAACTAGAAGAAAAGAACATTTTGTCGCGCTCTTTTTATAAATTGATTTATTTTTAATATTCGTTTACATTTCAAATAAATTAAACTGTTTAGCAAAGTCGTCTTTGTATTTCTAATTTTTAACAGGATTATTGTATAGTTTAATTGCGAGCAAGGTACTAATGCAAGGAAAGTTGATTGCAGTTGCGTTTACTCTGCGTACATATTGAAACCAGTCTTCTCTGGGCGGAATTTGTAAACAAGAATAGATGCATTAGTGTTCGTTTAGTATCCGAGGAGGTTAAAAGCATTAAATTATTTCATTGCTTTTTTATGTGAAAGATGAATCCCATGTCAGACTTCGACATCCGTCTTGTGTTTACATTACCGCCTAGAGACTGTACACTGCAGTACAAAAGATGCGTACACATCTAAAATAACTTTCTTGGAATTATAACCTTGATTGCGAGTAACAATGGCTGACTCACAATGTTTGTTAAAAGTAATATCAAGCATTGGCCTCCAAATTTAAAAGTGCTTACAGTCATATTAGATATCAAGATCGTTAAAGATTACCATGAATATCCAAGAACAAAAGTTTCAATTTCTGCAACTTGTGCAACGAGGTTATAGTGTATAGAGTGACGATGTACGCTCATCCTTTACTAATTCTATAGGCCATGAACTATACCGAGAGCGTACTGCATATTTGTTGATTATATTAGTAAAAAGTTGTAAGTGTACAGTACAGCTAATTGTGTGATTTCATCGTGGAAAACAATAAGTTTTAGTGTTCATCTAAAATTCATGGATTTAAAAAAGATTTGTTTTTTGTTTGTTAAGGAAGGTAATTTTGAGAGACAAAGTGATGCTAGCACTGAGATGTATGATCTGTATGATTGGAATAGGTTAATCAATTTGATTTATCTAGAATTAACAGGGTTTAAAGGGACTGCACACGTAATTTCAAGTAATCTTTCATTTCTAGACTGAACTGTCTGATTCACACCGGTACCCTGTAGATCTTTGTCTGATTAACTATGACAGAGAATTTCTTATTTTTCAGGATGAAAATTGATTGTCGGGAAACTTAAATGTGAACGGATAACATCAAGTTTTCCAGCGCTAAATGTTCAGCCTGTAAAAATAAGGAATTCTCTCATCGCAAAAGTTTACTGGGTACAAACGAAGGGTCTACACTCCATAGTTCATTTAAGGAAGAAATTTTAAAGCAGATTTGTCTATTTTTAAACTTTTATATTCTTTTGCCATAATCACACTCATTTTATTACCCACAAAGGTATTACATATTTTTCTTTGTACATTTCAAACTTTTTTATTTTGATATTTTAACTATTTTCTTTTCACTATCATGCAAAACAAAAATTATTTATAGATTTTTTTGCAAATTTTTGTTGTTGTTTATTTAGTGTGATGCATTATGATACGTATGCTTTCCGTAACAAAGATTGGGGAGGTGTCGGGTAAGGAAGGAACTTTTAACAAAATTGACAACCATTTAAAGATGTCGTCTTTCATTTTGTACATTATAACCTCAAAGCGTACAAAAATAAATTATACTTTGCACTTGTTTGAACAAATTATTCAGGGGATTTATTAATTTTAAATCCTCTTTTTAACCAAAAAAAAACTCAGTTCTTTTGTCGTTTAATAATAGTTTAATACAGTGTCGAACTTTTTTGTTTTGTCCCATCAAGTGTATACAAGTATTTTTTACTGATTTATTTAACTTTAATCAATGTAATTGCATATGTTCTATCTAATAAATTAAAGTACCGCTGACTGTATTTTTTTATGCCCTATCTAGTGTATTAAAGTTTCTTTTTCTGTCATCAATGAGATGTTCTGTCCTATCTGGTGTGCTAAAGTATCTTTGAGTCATATGATTGTAATTTTGAAGTCCTATCTAGTGAAATTAATTATATTTTTTTACTGGCAATTTTCCAATTAACAGACGGACATAATTGTAATTTTTCTGTCCTGTCTAGTGCATGTATTACATTCATGTTACTTCTCAGCCTAAATATTTATTTACAGTGCTGTCCTAACCCGAACCATCTACCCTAACCCTCTGGCCTGGGAGTCCATAAAAGCTCAGACTGAAAACTGGGGAAGAGGAGCTTATATGGGACAAAGAATAGGTTGGTATTAATGATAAAAAGACAAACATTGGCACAAATAATAAAAAAGTTGATAAAGCGCTTAATCCGTGAAAATCAGCTGATTCTTATTTTTGCGATCTATCATTGATCGAAAGTAGATATTTTATGGATTTATGACTGCAGGCAATGATTTAATCCGCCGGAAATCGGAACAAAAGACGAGAATTAGGGCTTTCTAAAGAAATTAACAATTCAGAAGTTTCGACTTTACTAAAGGCTAAAAAAGGCCAATGAAAGATCGGTTAAAGTCCCCGTAAGAAGAAAATAATCTAAAGTTATTTGAATCAGTCCATTTTTAAACGTTTCAAGATCAGATAAAAGGGATTATATTTGAATAACCATGAAAAAAAATCTAAATTAATTCTTAAAAATTTTTTAAATGTATAAAATTAAACAAACAGGGTTGAGTTTCTGTGACGAGCTGAAGATAAGACGACATTATTCAAAACCAGGATTAAAAGGAGGAGAGGTATAACAATGTCTCACACAAGTATAAACGGAAGGAAAAAGTACTTAACAAGTTTAGATAAGATAAGAATCATTAAGATTATAGTATCTTTAAACATTATTTTTTTTTGGGGGGGGGGTTGTGGGTTGCGAGGGAGGGGTTGTGGGTTGCGAGGGAGGGGTTGTGGGTTGCGAGAGCCACTTTGTATAAGAGGGAAATTCTTTAACCAAGAAATTTAAAAAAATGTTATTTAAAATATCTTTCCATTTAGGGTTGTAATATTTGGACCCCTAGAACCTGCAGATGTAAATATATAGATAAGGTGGAAACATTAAATATAAAGATTAAAAACTAACAATTTTCTTAATATTTCATATATTTTAGAGCAAAGATTATGACGATGCTAAATGCCAGGAAAATTTCATCAGATTCGTTTGGATTAACTAAAAATTTAAACATTTTTAATATTGTCTGAGGTCAGAATTTCTAACGAGGGAGATAGTTGAACTACTCTTTGCAACCGAGATCAACTTGAACCAAGGAAGTGGTGTTCAACTAACTCTTGATCCGATCGAACACAATATTTTTGAGGCAGCTCAAAGTTCAAAGGTTTATGGCTGGTCGAACTTGAAAATTTTGCCAAGAAATTTATGATTTTTGAAAATGCGCCAATTTAAACAGAAAAGAACCATAAAGAAAAGGGGCCGCGAAGCGCCCAATTAAAGTTTCCAATATCTATTTACAAACAACTGTATTCTGAATTGTTAATGAAAAACTGATGAATTGGTGCAGGATTTGATATTGAATGATCCTGCGAATAATATTACCAGATCCTCCGGTTCCAATCCTCAACCCCTCACAGCTCTTCTCATCACAGTTTTTTATCTAATTATATAAAAATACATCTAAGGAACTAATCACCCATCATAAACTCAGATTTTTAAATTCCTATATTTTTGTAATCCAATGCCGTAGACCTTTGATATTTCAAACAATAAAGTAGATTTAGCAATCTAAGTTTAAAAACCAAAGGTTTACACCATCAGGTTGCAAGGATAATGGGATTTTAACCATTTTGTTTTATGTTATAGAATTCTATTCCTTTTAGAATCCAAACATGTTCGCAACTTGATATTTCGAAATTTTACTATTTGATTTCGTAGAATTCATAGCTTGAAATATCAAAGGTATAAGACAACAGGTTGCAATGATATAAGAATTATAAATCAAAGTTCTGAGTTTCTTTTTAATTAGAATTGTTCCTTATATAGGCACTGTCAACAAAATGTCTGATTTATTTATGACAAGTTTTTTTCAACAATCACTGAATTCTATAATCCCTATATCTTTAGAACCCAATGACTATAGACCTTAGATATTTTATACTATAAACTCTGTAAGATCCAATGAATTATGTTTGTAATATTAAAGATTAAAACAATCAGGTTGAAAAGATATAGGGATTGAAGCAACAAGTCAATATGTTTTTTAAAGTAGTTTTTAAAACTTTAAAGTAATACAACTGTAACGAAAAATATAATATGATGAATTATAAAATATATTTAATGATAAAAAATTTTACTTTATCAAAATATATTAGAAAAATTCTTTTATTTTTTTTCATGTAGACAAATTATCGGAGTTCGTTGATAGGAAATATTCTTATTTTGATATTCTATTTCTTACAGTTAGCTAGAGTTTACCTTTAAATTAGGTTTAAGATTATAATTTTTTTCAATTGTTAAATAAATGGAAAATTTTAAATAACTTAGTCGGAATTTTCTGATCGACCAGTTGAAAAATGTTTAATCTTTATAATAAAGCTCTCCGCTCATATATATTTATATGTCAGCTATAGCTGGCCAACCGGCTGGACCGAATGGGCTGAATCTTTTGAGGGAACCCTTGATTGTAAAATAGACTAAAAAATCTAGTAATCAAATAAACTAGGTAAAAAATACAAAAATGGAAAATTTAAATATTAGAATTATAAAAGTATTTAATTTAGTTTTCTTTTGTAAATGTTTGGCTGTTTTTTCCAACATTATTTCAAAGAAATTGAGTCTTTGTAACAAACTCAAATTTTCTAATTCCTAAATCTATGCAACCTGTTAGTGCAAACCCTTGATATTTGGCATAACAGAATCGATAGTTAGAAATATCTAATGTATAGATATATTTAAGGTATAGGATATAAGGAAAAGAAAATATGAGTTTGTGGCAAAGTCTCAATTTCTGAAAACACAAATTGAAGATATAATGACATCAAGAGAAACCACCAGCTAGGTATCTCTCCCAAGCGAAATCCCCGAAATAACGAAAGCAGAGACATCTTGCGGCCAAAAAATAAACTGTTATACAAAAACAATGTCACTTATATTGGAGTTGACAGTTTTATATCAATTTCTCGAAAAAGGGACATCAGATAGAAATATTATTGGTCGCGATCAACTCATAGAGTTGATAGGTTTTAGCCTATACGTCCTTTATGTTTCTTGAACTACGTTACAGCCCTTTTTTACTCAATAACAAAATAATCCTTTCATTTTTAAGTTAAATTTTGCTAATAAAAATCCACTCAAATGATTGGATCACAAGAAAACTCTGTCTCCCAAAAGGTTTATCGTTACAACAGCGTCTAAATAGGATATTGCAGAGTCGAGCCTGCAGTTAAAATATTAAGAAAAGCATAAAGTATCAGCCATTAAGGAGGAGTTTTTACCAAACCCTGAAATATTTTATTCTCCTTATCTTTGCAACCTGATTGTGTAGACCTTTGATATTTTAAACTTGGATTATTTGATCAATTACATTAGGTTGCAATGATATAGGGGAATTAGAAAATCAGAGTACCAAATGAATTTAAAAATAAATTGCCAAGTTTACAGAAACTAGGATGAGAGATTAATTGCCGAGTCTGTTAGCGCCTGGTCCAATTAGGGTTCAGTCATGTGTTTGTTGTCCTTTCTGAACTAATAGAAATAGTATGGCGGTATCATCTATCTTTCTATCTATCTCATTATCCAATCAGAGTTATGAATCCTTCAATCGGCGCTATCAGTAAATGGAAATATTTACTTCTACTGAAACTATAGTGACACCTCAACAGTCTCATCCTTTGAAGGAAACCCTGTACAGTCTACGACGACGAAACAGAAGATCGTTATAGATTGTTAAACAAAATACTGGGATCAAGTCACGCTTAAAACTACATCAAATTAACCCAAATCTTTTTTACACAACTAGTGTATGTTTATACAGTTTCTAGAGGGATAATAAGTAAAACTTAGTCCAAGCAACTCTGAGTTTGTTTATATTTCTCCCAGAATCTGCAGTACACAGATTTTGTAAACAAAGCTAGTAGGCTTGCTATGAATTTAGGCTGTAACTATCCCACAACCAACCCATTCTGATTTTGATTTGGAAAACAAAGGAATTGAGTCTTTGCCACAAACTCTGATTTTTAAATCCCTATATCTTAACAACCCAATGTTGTAGGCCTTAGATATATAAAACTGTGACTTCTGTTATATCAAACAATTAAAATTTGAAATATCAAAGGTTCACATTATTTGGTTGTAGATAGATAGGTATTAGAAAATTGGGATATGTTGACCAAGACTCAATTGCTTTAATTTTTCCATGAAAAAATTAGTAAAAATGTTTTCCTTTTTTGAACCCTGACTTACTCTTCCAAAAATTTTGTCGAAAATAAAGATTTAATTTTTTTTTTCGGTAGAAACATCGGACATTTTTCCATGTTCTTCTATATTTCAAGATGGCGGCTAGGATAGAAACAATGTTTGATTGTTCTCTAGAATGAGAGCTGAGTTTGTGAAATATATATTTTGCTTCATTTTTATAGAAACCCAGGTATCATCTTCTTTAGTGGAAACTAGACAGAGAAAGTTTGTTGCATTCACTTAGAATTCAAATTTTAATTTTTTCTTATTTTCAGATTACTTTTTCTTTCTTTATGCCTACTCCGGATCAATTGGCTAAAAACAAGTTTTTCACTGTAAGGAAAATTAAAAATACTATATTTTTTTTTTGTTAAATATCCTTAATTCGTGTTTTGAAAGATTGCTATTATTAAACTGTTTAACATTCTTTAAAAATTGAAAAGATGAGTCTTAGAAATATAATTTAACTAGGTTTGATGCAGCAACATTAACCCTCTTGAGTTTAGAATTGGATCTTAAATATATAATTTCTAAATGTTGCCTTCTCCTGTGTGTTTACAAAATGACAGGGATAATTTAATCTCAGAGAAGGAATTTTTAGAAATGGTAAAACCACAAAACCGGGTTTCGGCGATGTGAACTTGATTAAGTTTTCATCCCTTTCAAGGTTGATTTTTTAATAAGAATCTACAAAAGATGCCAAGATTTCGGCAAAAAAAACTTGGGTTCCCAAACCGACTTTCGATAGTTTACACCCTTAAAAGTTTCTTTCCACTTAAGTTTATGTACACTGTACAGTTGTTTAATTAGTTGAGAAGTTTCAGTGAGAATTCCTTGTCAGCATTTAACTTAAACAATACAGTTTGCAGTATTCTTGCAACTCAAATATATTCACGTTAAATAATTATTTAGTTTGGGGGACTCCATTGTTAATGAAGTTATATGTAGAGTTCCACTGAACTAGATACTATGTATGTAATTTTCAAAATAGATTCTCCACGTCAAGCTAAAGTTTGCATCAAATAGATTACCGATTGTTTTTCGTTTTTTGAAAGTTCAAAACGAGCTGTTTTATCTATTTGATAAAAAAATCTTTGCCTAATATCTTTTAAAGTAAACTTCGAGCCATTTTTATCAGAATAGACATTCTCTAGATAATCTTTTTTTTCATTGCCCAGGATACAGCACAGAACGCTGACCAGCAAAGCTCTAATGTTAAGCCAGAGTTAATAGAAGGAGATATTCAACCTTCACGTAAGGTATTGTTAACTGATGATAATTACTGATAATATCAATTTTTTTTTGTAGTTTAAATCATTCAGTTTTCTACTCACATTGATGTCGACATGACGTCCTTAATTGAGGCAGGGAAAACCAAACGAGCTAGTGCCCTTTAAGAAAAAATTTGTAAACATTATTATAATTTTTTTTGCTTTTAATTGAATTTCTTGAGAAAAAAGAGGAATTTTATAAATTTTAGTGAATTTATCTAGGCGAAAATTACCTTCTAATGTTATATAGGCAAAATGTTCTCTAGGCTAAATGTTGTCTAGGCAAACTGTGTTTAGGCAAAATGTTATCTAGGCAAAAAGTTAGTAGGCGAACATGTACTAGGCGAAAGTGTACTAGGCGAATTTGTACTAGGCAAAATGTTACTGAGCCGATAATAATAGTAATAATAATAGTAGTAATAATTATAACCATGAAATTTTGATTTTAAAAAAACATCTTTTTGTCTAAATAATGATTTTGAACCTGAAATATAAGGTTTTTTATCTATTATATATTTACTTATATATTATTATTATTATAGCTATTTTAGGATGTAAACCGTCGTGTGAATCTGGAGAACTTGACTTATGTTGAGGCTAGATCTGGAACTGTAGCAGATAGATGGGATGCTCATTGGATACCTTACCAAATAAACTACGACGGGGTGGGTCATGACAATATTAATTCTCATTTTTCATTTCAAGGTACCCTCCCTTGATAGAGTGTTTATTTTCATTTGTGGTTTCTCTGGAAAAGGGACTTGTGCATTTCTTCCTTAAGAAACAATACATAAACTTTCAGAATTAAACACTTTACAAGCCAATTATTTTTCAGATTAAGGTGTTATGGCCGGGTATAGTTGTACATGTGGCATTCCCGTACGTCTTGAACGGTCTTTTGAAATTACTGTAACATTTTAATTTCTTTTTAAATTTAATTAAATAAAATCGAAACATTTAGGTACTTGTTTTTTATATTGAGCAAAATTAATTGAAATTAATCAAAAACTGTTTTATAGTTTTAGTCGACGAAAATGATTATAAACTGAAATTTATTTATTGTATTTAGTTGAAAACATTTAGGGAAATATGAATTTAAAAATTGATTAAGATTGAAGATGGGTATCGTTTGTATGTGAAACTCAAACTGAACTACGTCATCAAAGTAGAATACAAGTAAGTAAATTAAAAGTAAAACTAATCAATTTTCAATTCAATTAATTCAAGTACTAGTGACCCTGTTTTATCAAATCGTTCGCGTCAAGTTTATCTGCATTTACCGTACTGTACTGTACTGTACTGTACTGTACTGTACTGTACTGTACTGTACTGTACTGTACCGTACTGTAGTGTACTGTACTGTACACTAGTGAACGCAGCTGAATTTTGGGACGAACCTTTTTGCCTTTCCTTTACAGTACACGGCAGATACTTTTTACCTGACCTTGCCCATTAGCTTTTAACCTACGGCAGACGCTGAACTCCAACCTTCGAGTGTGCGAGGTGGGGAAGACTTCACTGCAGATTTTACTTTTGTACAAGACCACTTTTTCAACAATTTTCAATTAAATTAGTATTTATTTAGGGTTAGGTTAGGTTAAGACACTTTCTGTGCGCAGAGCTGCGACTAGGACAGGCTAGGGGGCCGAGCGCTGCGGCCATGGGTTAGGTTAAGTTATGACACTTTCTGGGCCGAGCGCTGCGGCTAGGATTCAATCTCGATCTACAAATGTCATCCCCCTTTAATCATGCTTTCAATTAAGCGCGGCAGTGAAGTCTTCCCCACCTCGCACACTTAAATGTTGGAGTTCAGCGTCTGTCTTACCCTACAGTACTGAACATCCCCCCCCCCCACTTCATTTTTAATGGTACTGTTATTTTAAGCAGGGTACTTTTAATACTCATAAATTAAAAAAAATTGTTGAATTTTGACATTTTCCTGTATTTTCTCATCAGTTTAAATCCGCAAGTCACTTTTACAGTGACTTGCTATTTTATCCATCCATGATCGGACAAAGGCTTTTGTGAATTTGATGTTAATCTGTAAATGAAGGTTTTCACTAAATTACATTGACAGTCCTATCAAGAAAAAACAATTTAAATTCAAAATAATTAAATTTTTAGGAACAAAGTTGGTGACTGCATCCATTTCTGTGAGCGCCGGGTTGATTGTCCCAGAGGTGTCTGGACTGGAAATTATATAAAAATAGGGTAAGATACACTGTAAAATATACCCCTGGAAATACACACTGTAAAAAAAGAAAATGACGGAACCGTTGTTTTTTCAAATACATCAATTGAGTTTGTGGCGAGGACTCATTTTTTAAAATAGACAGAATATAATATCATTCCCCATTATAATGGAGATAAAAAGGATTTGAGTCTTTGCCACAAACTCTGATTTTCTAATCCCTATATTTTTTTACCTTAGATATTTCGAACTATCCAAGTTTGAAATATCAAAGAGTTACAGAGATATAGGAAATTTGAAAATTTGAGTTTGTGGCAAAAACTCAGTTCCTTTTGTAAATGCCTTTATTTTTTTATAACAATGATGATAAAAAACAGGAATAACTCCTGTAGATCAGAGAAACCAAAAATTCAATATTTTAGTATTTTTGTCATTATGAAAAATTCAATATTCTCAGTAGAAATTAATCACATACCAGAGAAATGACAATATCTAAGCCATAATTTCTTTTATGGCAACAAATGAGGATTAGTGTGAATATCTTAAAAATGTAAAATTATATTTCTAAGGTTTACTGAGTCAGGTTGCTGGTCTGTAGTTGGTAGAGAAGGTGGAGGTCAACCATTGAACTTAGCCTTTCCTGGTTGCATGTCGTGAGTCGACCCTTCTATCAGAAATACTTGAAAAAAAAGAATTCTTTAAATTGACATGTGTTCCAAATATTTTTCAAATGAATAAAAAATTACCAAATAGGACCGTAGGATTTCCAAAATGCGAAAATTTTCGATCGTATTTCGCAAACTTTTCCGCGAAAATGATTTTAGCAAACTATGCGAAATTTAGCAAAGATACTTTTCGCAAAAACTTTTCCGCAAAATTCGGCGAAAAGTTGTGTAACTGCAACAATTAAAAAATTTGCCTGCGCAAAAGAATTTGTGGAATTCTCTGCTCTGAGAGCTCAGCATTAGAAGTTTTATTAAATCATACAGTGCGTCCCATATCATATTAGATTATCTCCAAGCTTTAGCTTAAAAAACGCACATAATACTTTAAAAACCTAGTATTTCTTTGCAAGAAAACTTTTATAAAAACTTTTTATATTTTTTTAAGTTGATTTATTGTTTTTAAAATTTCTTATTAGTCCCTAAGATCACATTTTTGAGCTAACACGATCTAATATGATGTGGAATACCCTGTAATAAAAAATTTCTCTTACATATTTTTTTTCGCAAAATTTTCGCATTTTGTTTTCTCAAAATTTCGCATTTTTTTTTCGCGAACAAGCGAAAACGCGAGCGAACGAAATGCGAAAAAATGCGAAATTATCGGCGATTTCCCCTTTTCGCTGGAAACCCTTATAGGGGTTGTTGATGGGAAAACACAGTATTGTAGAATAAAAAATAAAAAGTGATTTTCCAAGATGACTAGTTCTTGAGCAAGATTAAAAAAATATTCGAATTATTTCGAATGAAAATTTGGAACCCTAATTTCCATCACAAAGTTTTCACTTTGCTCAGCTATTAAAAAGTTAAATACATTTGTGGGTGTTAATGTTGTTAATGTTGTTAATGGTGTTAATGGTGTTTTAGTTTTGTTAATGTTGTTAATGTTGTTAATGTTGTTAATGTTTCTAATGTTGTTAATGTTGTTAATGTTGTTAATATTGTTAATGTTGTTAATGTTGTTAATGTTGTTTCAAGGAAGGGAACTATCACTCATGAGCTAATGCATGCTATAGGATTTTTCCACGAGCAGTCAAGGTAAAAATACGAATACATAAACAGAGACGACTGTACGGAATATATACTGTCTATTCCTTTAAATCCATGCAGCTGTACACTTCTTTGGTTCTTTGCCAAAAAACTAAATTCAACTTTGAACTTATTTTAGTTGGAGGTCGTCTTTGGAGTCTCATTCTATGTTGGTAACTCTGTATATTCTTACAAATATTATTGTTACAAATTGAAGCTTTTCTGATGTTCTTTACAATAAAATTAACGGTAATTTACACTGCAGTGTACAGCGTACAGTACTTTTTATCCTGTGTAATGTTTATATTGTACAGTGTACATACTACACATGAGGGATGATATAAAGAATAAGGTGTTTTCTCCAAGGAGATATTGAATAGCAGGAGGGGGCAATAGGGTTTCCATACACTTTGCTGTGACGTTTTTGGACTGCTGAAGAACTAGTTTTTGCGTAACAACAATAATAGAGATTGTAAACAATAACACAAATGATAAACAGACATCTGGCATCTCTGGCGCATTAGATGAAGATTCACCGTATACTAATTACTAACTCATGCTTTTTTACATAAGATCGGCTGCCTTTGTTATTGTTGTTACGCAAAAACTAGTTCTTCAGCAGTCCAAAAACGTCACAGCAAAGTGTACGGAAACCCTATCGCCCCCTCATTCTATTCAATATCTCCTTGGTTTTCTCTATGTATTGTACTGTCACATTAATCTCCCGAGAAGGGGATGATTTATTTGGTGTACTGTACCGTCCCGGTTTGCCGCCAGAGCCCAAAACTTAAGACAGGGTATCTTTATGAAAACCAGTTTTAAAACCCGGGTTTTACGAATGGGATTAGGCAGTTTTGTGGATATTAATTTCTTATTATGAAATATTTGTTTCTTCATGTTCTCCATTTTTTCGAATCTCTCAAATCAAAATCTACAAAATGTTAAGACCCCAAAAAGGATACTCAAGGGTTTTGTTGAACGATACTCTTTTAAATTTCGGGCTCAGTACTCAGTAGTCTGCATTTATACAATACAACTTGCTCTGTCCCATACAGGATATACAAGTCAGGCCGGTACATTAAATGAACTTGGGTTTTCAGTGCTGTACTGCTTGCAGGCCGGACCGGGATGGTTTTGTGAAGATTGTCAGAACTAATATAGAGACAGGACAAGTAAATATAAAAAATCAATTACAAAAATTAATTGCTTGTGATTAGCTATAGTTCCCGGTGTCACGTGATAAAGTCTTCAGGCGTGAAATAATGTCCAGGTACTGTGTTTAGGTCTTAAACATTAAATTAAAAATTATCTAATTATATTGAACAGATTAATTTACATTTTAGCGACTTATTTTTACATAACTTTTGAATATGAAAGGTCAGAAGTTAATTTACTAATGTTTTGAAAAGAAGACGACATTCGAGACGAAATATTGTTTTTTACATATTTTCTAGTATTGCTACATTTAAAAACTAATTTAACTAGATGTTTACGTTCAGCAGATCTTTATCAATGCATCCATAATTTGATATTGTGGAAAAAGTGTCCAAATCATCAAGAAGTGCCCCTCTACCCGAGCATTATTTCACGCCCGGACACTTTTTCAACGTCACACCGGCTTTGCCAGTGGTATTTTGTGAACAGTTCGATCATGGGCAGCTGTAAAAGACGACTTTCTGTCCCTAAACAGTTAAACAGTTAATCTAAGAGTTAATCCTGGGGGGGGGGGATTCGTCAATTTTTATTTCATCTCTTGATCTCATCATGATTTCGTCCGATACTGGTAACATACAGGAAGTCCGTGTTTATGTGTATCTATGATGTTTAAAAGCTTGGTAGAAATCACAATTGAAATAGAAATTTGTCTTCATTATATTGATATATACGACGATGACTGTAGTACAACGCTGCCTCATACCTGGACACCCTCCTACCCTGCACCACAAACTACATATTTCGATTTTCGACTCTCTCCTTTTCATGTAAGATATACAAAATCCTTTCATCAGTAGGGCTGGGAAAAGTTCCGTTAACGAAACGAAGGTTTTCAAAAATAAAAGGAAGTGCCCATTAACGAACGGCAAAACCCGTTAATTTTTAAATCGTTAACGAAACAGATTAGCTGTTTTTGAAAAAATATTAACGGCTGAAAACAAAAACGAATAAGTTAGATTAAGTTAGAATTAAATTTTAACAATATTGTATAAATAATGAGATTATAGCAAATGCATGAATATTTTTACATTTCTATATTTCTTGTTCTCCATTTCTTCATGTTCGTCCATCGTCCATCATGTTCGTGCATCGTCCATCATGTTCGTGCATCATCCATTATGTTCGTGCATCTTCCATCATGTCCGTGCATCTTCCATCATGTTCGTGCATCGTCCATAATGTTCGTGCATCTTCCATAATTTTCGTGCATCTCCCATCATGTTCGTGCATCTTCCATCATGTTCGTGCATCGTCCATAATGTTCGTGCATCTTCCATAATATTCGTGCATCTCCCATCATGTTCGTGCATCGTCCATCATGTTCGTGCATTGTCCATAATGTTCGTGCATCTTCCATCATGTTCTTGCATCGTCCATCATGTTCGTGCATCGTCCATCATGTTCGTGCATCGTCCATCATGTTCGTGCATCTTCCATNACTGGAACAGGTCAAAACTGGAATTTGATAAAACAGAGATGTATGATTACTATGACTGGAACAGGTCAAAACTGGAATTTGATAAAACAGAGATGTATGATTACTATGACTGGAACAGGTCAAAACTGGAATTTGATAAAACAGAGATGTATGATTACTATGACTGGAACAGGTAAAAACTGGAATTTGATCAAACAGAGATGTATGATTACTATGACTGGAACAGGTAAAAGCTTTGAGAAAGTCCTCAATTCAAAAAGTATTCCTCCCATTGGCTCACCCTAAAAATCTCTCTGGTTTATGTACCCTGTCCCTTATACAAGATATAGATGCAGAATTTTCTTATAAGAAAAGTCTTTAAAATATTGTCAACATAATTTCAATACATTCCAAACATATACCATATGTAAATAACCATTCCTTTAGGCTGACACATTATTTGCGGCATTCTATTTACGAGTAAATCTTGCAACAATGATCACTAAAACCTAATCCTTGCATTTCCAAAATATGGTCTGGTCTGCCTTTTTGTGTTTGAAAAGTATTTAAATACCGTGAATCAAGAACTCTGGACGAAATTATTTTAATCTATTTTCAACATTTTCAAAGTCCCTTTTTTGCCTCTATGCTATGTTCTATCTTTTAAAGCAGTGATTTCAATGCCTGCACCACTATAGTTTCTGTAGAAGTATATATTTCCATTTACTGATAGCGCCTATTGAAGGATTCATTTGGATAATGAGATAGAGAGAAAGAATGGTGTTACCGCCATACTATTTCTATTGGTTCAGAACCGACAACAAACAGATGACTGAACCCTGATTAGATCAGGCGCTAATAGACTCGGCATACAGGAGTGGCACTATGCACTAATATATCATTATTTCCTATATTTTCTCATTGTTTACAGCTGTCACATGCAAAAATATTGAAAAGTTGTATCTATTGCAATAGAGATTCATCCGGCTAATTTGCAATGCAAAGTACAATGCCCACACAGACCCTCATTTTCTTCCTTGAATATTCTTCCTTTTCCAGATCTAATTCAGCATGAAAAACATGATAAAAAAATGCATGCACTCTGTAGAGTTTACATATGCGCCAATCTTTTTTACAAACAAAGGGATTGAGTCTTTGGAACAAAATCAAATATTCAAACCTCAATATCTTTAGAACTCGATTTTGTAAACCTTTGATATTTCAAACTCAGATTATTTGATCTAACAGAATTCATAGTCTGAAATATCTAAGGTCTGCAACATTTGGTTCTAAAGATATAGTGATTAGAAAATCAGAGTTTGTGGCAAAGACTCGATTCCTTTATTCAAAATAATAAAACCCGTGAATATACTTACTACGTAACTATAATGATTATCTGTTACCACGTATTCATATTGATTTTTTAAAGAGAGTTCCGCTGTTCTCGTTTTCATTGCCTTGGAATGCATTGAATCCAGTATTAAAAGTTATGCAAAATAAAAATGAGTTCAAGTATCGTGTAAAAAAGTCTATGATTGCTAAATATGAAAATTTCGAGTGAAATAAATTGTTTTGCTATTTACGTTCGAGACATTTCTTATTGTTGTTGTTCAATGGAGCCTTAAGGCAATTATAACGTCTCTATGATTTCGTAAATTACTTTGATTGCGTGTCTGCTAACTACTTCAGTTTTCCTTCCCTACTCTACCAACTGCCATCTCTATCCTTCCCTACTATACAAACTGCCATCTCTAACCTTCCTACTCTACCAACTGCCATCTCTAACCTTCCCTACTCTACCAACTGCCATCTCTAACCTTCCCTACTATACCAACTGCCATCTCTAACCTTCCCTACTATACTTAAGGATCAAAGGAGAGCTAGCTTTGTGATAACAGCTCTAAGCTATTAAAGCTCTCCTGCTGCAGTAGTTTTACATATTTGTAGCGTACTATATGTTTTGTTGATAACTGTAATGATTTATAATTACTGCAGTAAATATATGGTTTGATTTGATATTTATGAAAAGCCTAAACATAGGGTATCATGGTATATGTGAAAGTAGTATAGAATGCCGCAAATTATTTCACAGATCAAAGACGATCTAAAAGTTGTCTCAACTCTAATGTTTCGAGAGACACTCTGTATAATTGTGTTATATTTATTCAGTGTTATGCACTACGACGTTTACGCATTTAGAAACAAGCTTTGGTCAGGAGTAAGGCAAGGTTTTTTTTACACAATTTTAATTCTTTAACAAAAATTAATAAACACCTTTGACTAAGAAGTTAAGTCCCTATATCTTTGCAACCTGGTAGTGTAAACCTTTGATATTTCAAACTTAGATGATTTTATGTATTAGATACATAGTTTGAAATATCAAAGGTCTTGGCATTGGATTGAAGTGATATAGGGATTGGAAAATTAAAGTGTGTTGTAAAAACTCAGTTCCTTTATGATATATAAATATATATACAATTCTTAGATTTGCGAATACTTATGTTTTAATCAAAATATTTCGTAATACTGAATCATTACAGTGCTATCCTAACCCGAACCATCTTCCCTAACCCTCTGGCCTGGGAGTCTATAAAAGCTCAGACTGAGAACTGGGGAAAAGGAGCATATGTAGGACAAAGGATAGGTTGGTATACAGTCCTCGTCGTAAATATCAATACAATAAAGACGACTTTCTATTTCAATTTTGATTTCTTGTAAGATTTTAAACATTAGAGACACATAAACATGTAAACAAAGAGAAGTTGTAAATTAACAGCTTCTCTTTGTTTACATGTGAAATTGCAATTTGAAAACGGTTAGTCAAGGATCAAAGCATTATATATAGAAGTTTGTCTCTGTTGTATTGATATAAACGCTGACCACTGTATTTAAGATGAAAACATCTTTTGATTACGAGATAAAATGAAATGATAACTTTATAAATGATAAATAATAGTTTTGTAAATGATCTCTGATTTACACAATTTAATCTGTGTTTGTATTTTAAAGGATTGAGTTTTTGTGATGAGTTGAAAATAAGACGACATTATAACAGACCAGGCTTGAGAGGAGGAAAGGTTAAATTTAGAAAAAAATATTTGAATATTAAAATTAATTTAAACTAATCAAAACATATTGACAATAAAATAAAAGAGTGTAATTTTAAGAGTATGATTACTGATACTAAAACCCCTCACCCCTTTCTTTGAGTCATAGCAGAGTAAAGAACCTGGAGAATAGAGCCAGTGCACCCGGGAACCTTATACAGGATAGACGTTAGAGCTAAGCTCCGTTTATCCAACCATGCACTTTTAGACAGCTATCGGACTGATGTATCTTTATCATGCCTACTAGAGAACTAAGGAGGACACCAGCCTCCTTCCCCACTATTATACCTGAGTATGCCTCATCAGATTCATCAGCATCACCAAGAGATCTATCTCCATGGTTTCTGGTACTACTCCGATTGTAACTTTACCAGCTAGTCCAACTACGGACCACCAAGATGTATTTGAGGAAGCTCTATAATCTCAAGCTGGTTCTATAGACAGAGCCACTGGAGATATAGAGTAGCTAGGGTATCTAGGACTTATGAGTCTAACTACAGACCAGCCAGTCAAACCACAGACCAGGATATATTCTCTGTTGGCTCTATGAACAGAAACACTGGAGATGCAGAACAGCTAGAGTATTCGTACAGAGGAGAACTAGATTATCCAGCCAGTGCAGCACAGGCTGCTCTATACTCTCCAGAGATTCACCGACAAAGGGTCAAACGACCCAGGGTCAAACGACACAGGGTCAAACGACAAAGGGTCAAACGACACAGGGTCAAACGACAAAGGGTCAAAAACGCGACAAAGGGTCAAACGACACAGGGTCAAACGACAAACGGTCAAAAAATGCGACAAAGGGGCAAATTTTTTTTAATTCTGTCAGTTAGTATTTTTTTTATTATTATTTATGCTTTGGTTAGGTACATTCTGGGCCGAGCGCTGCGGCTAGGACAGGCTAGGGGGCCGAGCGCTGTGGCCACATGGTCAATAATATCCATTTATTTATTATTATTTAGGGTTAGGTTAGGTTAAGACACTTTCTGGGCCGAGCGCTGCGGCTAGGACAGGCTAGGGGGCAAAAAAAGTTTGGCGGATTTTTGTGATTAAAATTGCGAGTTTCCTATGATTCAAATCAAAAAATATTTTTATCATTTTGACCTTTTGTCGTTTGACCCTTTGTCGCACTTTTGACCCTTTGTCGTTTGACCCAGTGTCGTTTGACCCTGTGTCGTTTGACCCTGTGTCGTTTGACCCTGTGTCGTTTGACCCTGGGTCGTTTGACCCTTTGTCGGTGAATCTCTCCAGAGGATTCTATGACCCCAGGTGAAGAAGAGATCATGAGGACCTATGAGGATGGGATCTCTCGTCCTCAAGACATGACTGAGAAACCAAGAGGTTTACAGAAAAAGGAATCTGGTATCAGACCTGGGAGTAGCTGATCTTTACAAACAGCTCTTCGCCAACCAGTTGCAGAAGCAGCAGACTCAGATTCAGAGTTGGAAGAACTGTTGAGAGATGCTCCAGAACCTGGTACTCCTCCAGTTCGTTCTCCAACCCAAGAGAGTCCCTTAATTCCAGGAGCAGCTAGGATAAATCCAGAAGCGGCCAATAAATCTGCAGAAGATATGGAAGCTGTTGTGGATCAACTGCAAACTGTTGTTGAAGGGCTGCTGCCTTGGTTGAAAGATGATATCTCCTCTTCTGGATCCTTGAATCCCAGGACTCCTTGTCCAGATATAGAACTAGAGGATCTATTGGAGTTTGAGGCAGCTGCTTAGAGGGATCCTACTCCGGAGCTGCTGGACGATGTTTTCAAGTTCAGGAGATCCTGAACAGCTGAATGATATGTTTGAGACTGAGGAAGCTACTCAGAGACATCCTGACCTGGAGCATCTAAACGAGATATTCGAGTTCAGAGATCCTGAACCAGAGCAGCAGAATGAGATGTCTGAGTTCAAGGAAGATGTATAGAGGGATACTGAACAGGAGCAGCTGAATGAGATGTCTGAGTTCAAGGAAGATGCATAGAGGGATCCTGAACCAGAGCAGCAGAATGAGATGTCTGAGTTCAAGGAAGATGTATAGAGGGATACTGAACAGTAGCAGCTGAATGAGATGTCTGAGTTCAAGGAAGCTGCATAGAGGGATACTGAACAGGAACAGCTGAATGACGATCTTCTAGAAAAGAAACCTGTGATGATTGTGTATCGGAAATATCTAAGGACTCGACTAGATGGAGAATTGCTGCTCTTGAGGAACAGTTTAGAGATTATAACAATATGTGCCTCTCACTTCCCCTGGATCTCTTTAGACCACATACTGCTCCATCCAAGGAACTGATTAAAAACAAGAATAACCTTATACAGATGTATTTAACAAATAAACTTTGAAATTGATAAATCCTATTCATTTACACTCCGAGAGATATCTAGATAAAGTATATTTAAGGGATCTATGAGAACGGAAGTACGGGAATTCAGAGTGAAATATTAGTGCACAACCCTACCCATGGGAGCAAATGATTGATCTCGAAATCCCTAAGATTTACATCTGGATTGTAATCAATTAAACCCATTAATCATTACAACCAAGTTTATGGACCAGACCCAACTGTTTAAATGATTTCAGGGATGTAATTTGTGGACACCTCGGACCTGTAGGTGCAAATATATAAACAAGGTTGGAAATATTAGAAACATAAAAATATCAGGAAAATGATCTGAACTTTCTGGACAGCAGTTTTGAGTTACCGCCTCTGATAACTCTTTATAAGATCAGATTTTATTTTCAATTCTTAAAACCTAAAGAGCTTCATGATAAATTCTTACTAGTTTGGGAACCCAGCGTTGCCCATGTTACTTATAGTTCCTCCCGCACTTGGTCGAATTTACCGCGGGAAACTAAATTTTTGCTATTAAGTTACCCAATCAAATTTGAGACAAATCGGGCAGTGGTTCATGAGTTATTATTTGACAAACAATCAGACAAAAAGAGATCACTATCTATATCTACATCAAAACTTAAAACATGTGTTTTTTAGAATGATGATTATGATGAAGCAAAATGCAAGGAAAAATTCATCTTTTCATGAAAAATCGTAAATTTAGGGTGACTCAATAAAAATGATTATTTAAAGGATTTTCCACCTATTTCAAAACACACATAATCCTTTAATCTTTAAATTTGGATTTATTGTGATTTTTGCAGATTTGTCGATACTTTGAACTAAAATAAAAAAGGTATTATGTGTCATTTTTAAATAGGTTAGCATTCCCTTTAAGTGATGACTTTGCACTTTGCTGGATATATCACCTCGGTCCAAAATAGTCACATTATCCGGAGCGGTACACGGGTACAAGGATCCGGACCGGTACACGGGTACAAGAATCCGGACCTGTACACGGGTACAAGGATCTGGACCTGTACACAGGTACAAGAATCCGGACCTGTACACGGGTACAAGGATCTGGACCTGTACACGGGTACAAGAATCCGGACCTGTACACGGGTACAAGGATCCGGACCTGTACATGGGTATAAGAATCCGGACCTGTACACAGGTACAAGAATCTGGACCTGTACATGGATACAAGGATCCGGACCTGTACACGGGTACAAGAATGTGGACCTGTACACGGGTACAAGGATCCGGACCGGTACACGGGTACAAGGATCTAGCGTGTAATTGTACTGTGTATGCATTCACTCGCATCAGCGGGTCTGTGCTACCTTTTTTGAAGAAGATCCAGCTCGTTTTATGCACAAATGCGCACATGCATTTAATACACATAGCTATTGGCTGGATCGATGTGATATTAAATGATGCTATTTTAATTCTTAAACTTGACTAATAAATAAAGACTGAAAGAAACTGAAAAATCGCCCCAAATTCGAATTTTCTAATCCCTATATCTTTGCAGCCTGATGCCATAGACTGTTTTATTTATTTTAAGCTATGAATTCTGCCAGATCAAGTTCTACCAATTTAAAAGAATTTAAAAATTAAAAAGGTTTAGAGTTTATTTTAAAGATGAAATGATTTGAAGGAAGTTATAGACAATGATCCAATGAAAAATATTACACAGTTCTATAATAAAAGCTCTTCAACAAATATCTTCAGTCCGCTGCTAATAATCACCATCGCTTTTCTTATTTTTTAAAATAAATTTGATGAAATTTGGTTTTATTTTGGAATACATTTTTAAATTATCAATATTAGCTTCAATATGTGACGTTAGTGTTTATAAAAGTATCTTTAATAAAAATCTATATGAATGTATGAATTTATTGTTAGCTATAGCTGGCCAAACGGCTGGACAGACATTTTTTACATTACTCTGGGTTAAAAAATTCTAAATTTTTTCTCTTCAAAAATTAAATTCTTATGTTCAAAAATCGAAATATTTTTTTCCAGAAATCATTTTTTGTTTCAAAATTTGATTTTAAAATTTTTAATTTGTGTAAATGTGATTTACATTTAAGATGCTGGTTCTTATGTAAAATGTTTAATCTTATTTTTTTCGAAAACATTTTTTAAAGAAAACTTACAGATGAAGCACATTTTAGCACTAGTTTTGAATTTTTCCAGGTGCATGTATGCTATTGTTCCCCAACCAAAGTAAGAAACTAAATCCTAATAAAAATGAACTGATATTATTGCAAAGATGTGTACTATCTAATCACTATACAATGTTTACAAAAATAAACCAGTTCCCAAGTGTACTGCACTATTCTGTTGTATTAAAATAATGTTTTGATTTATTTCCTCATGTTTTGTGTATAGTTTATATAAGATTTAAAAGTTTACTAGGCGTGCATGCATAGTCATGTTCTCTTAAGTTAGATCAGCAGGAATTAAGTGTTAAAATGAATTTTATTTGGATTTCAAGAAAAAGCTTATTTAAAGTTAACATTTCGAAAGAAGCAATTAATTCACTAAAGGAATTGAATCTTGGCCACCAACTATGCTTTTAAAATCCCTATATCTTTGGAATCCAATGTCGTAAACCTTTAATATTTCAAACTTATATTATTTGATCTAACAGAATTCATAGTTTGAAATACTACGACGATTGAATCCAAAGATATAGGGATTAGAAAACCCGAGTTTGTGGCCAAGACTCAATTCCTTTGTTTATTAGTTTATTTGCTTATCCAAATTGAATGTAAATTTTGCACTGAAATATAATGGATAGAAAAATACTATAGAAGGACAGAATTATTATGTTACTTCTAAAAATGATAAGTAAATAATAGCATATTTGAAATATATAATAAATAAAGATTATTGTTTACAAATATACCACTATAGTTTTAGTAAAAGTAAATATTTCCATTTACTGATGGCGCCGATTAAAGAATTAATATCTCTAATTGGATAATTAGATAGACAGATAGATAGATGTTACCGCCATACAATTTCTATTGGTTCAAAATAGAGTACTAGACAGCAAACACATGACTGAACCCTGATTGGATCAGGCGCTAATGGACTCGGCGGCATACAAGTCTGGTATGTATATATGACAATATTACGAATATTGTTTTATAATAAAGAATAAATATATAGAAGATTAATAAGAAAAAAGAAGATAAAAGGGATTCTTGAAAGAAGTTCAAAATGATGCAGTGTCTCAAGAAAATCCTGTGATAGCATATTTAAATAAGAAATGAAGAATACGACATTTGATGAATTCTTTCGATGTATTCCTTATTAAGGGTTTCACTTTAGCATATTTAAATAAGAAGCAGAGTCCTGTACCCCTGCTGAAGATGTACCCTCAAGATGAAGTGTGCTTGCATATACCTACCTATTTAAACCTCTCTCTCTCACTCTCTAAAAAGACAACTATGAAAATTCACTGAATTTGAAGGATAATTTCAACATTAAGAAGAACAGAATGTTTACTTCTGTTAAATCAGTAATTACTATTAAAATGGAAATTAAAGAATCATCAGACCATTTATAACTACTTGAAAAGGCAGAGATATTTCTCATCAAGTATGCTTCCATAGATGTAAATGCTGTATACATGTAGTTTATTATCTTACTCCATAAACTGCTCCTCAACTTGTATCTATCCAGGTATAATTCAGTTTCACTTTGCTATCAATGTATAAACCCTGTTACAATCTTGTAACCTATCAGTACCAAACAATGGGAACAATCTCGTTGACTATCAATGTCAACAAGGACACTAGCAACTAATCTATCAACCCCACTACCACTGGGCATGATCTCATTAGCTATCGATGTCAACAAGGACACTAGCAATTAATTGATCAATGCCAAACTATGGTCACAATCTCATGAGCAATTGATTTCAACCAGACACTTGCTCAAACTCTATCAACGCCAAAACAATGGGCGCGATCTCAGCTCGACATGTTTCAATGAGAACATAATTACTCTCTCGAAAACAATCAGATCGAAGTCTCTATATCAATTATTGCATTTGACTTTTATATGTGACAACTTAAAGTTAATAAGACGAAATTATAATTCCTACGTCGTTATCTATATCACATGATTAATGCAATCATGTTGAGTTTATTATACAAATAAATATTGTAAATCTTTTCTAGTACCTCCAATAGTTTTCTAGTACCTCCAATAGTTTTCTAGTACCTCCAATAGTTTTCTAGTACCTCCAATAGTTTTCTTCTTATTTGAGAAAAAGTACAAAATCTTATTTTCTTTTTTAAATATTAAGGACAAAATGATGCGCAATACAGCTAAAATTGTTATTTTTTTTTTAATAAAAAGCAAATGTTTTTAATTAATTTGTAAAAATAAAGCAAACATTTATGAAATGAACCACACCCAGTTATGTGTTTAGCAATGTTTACTTGTCAGGGGTATTAACTTTTAACACTGTTAAAGACTTTTTAAATTTTTAAAAGCAATATAAATTTTAAATCATCTTTTAATTAAGTTTTTCACTTCACAATGCACAGTGCATATTGTACACTGCACAAATGGTTTATTGATTATTAATATTGTGACCTCAAGTTGCTCAGTTAACACTTTGTAACTTTATGTAACCTTTGTTTTGCTGGAATAATAATGTGGAAACTTTGTACAATAAACATTTTTATTTTAAGGTATGCTTTAAAATGTCTTATTATCTAACCAAAGTTAGTGATTTTCACTCAACATTAATTTCATATTCCTAAAAACCAGGGGGTTGGTCACAATTGACCTACATCTGTTTTCTATCTTTTAATAATAACTCTAATATATCTTTATCTAAATTGCAATTTATCCAGTGAGGTAGTATCTGGAATAAAGCAGCTGCATGTTAAAGATGGAATGGAATTCTATCCTAAGGATTCAGGTTTTCATCTCACAATCGATTCTAGTTGGACTGTTTGCTTTAGATTCAGGTATCAATGTTTTATAAATGATAAACTACTACTTATTTTTAATTGATTTTAAATGATCTAATTAAGATTAATATAAAACTGTGAATTTGTACAAAACGAAAATAAATATCTAGTGAAAACACAGTTTTTAAAGCTATGTTTGGTAGTAAAATATAACTTTGTGCAGATTTTCTAAATTAAGAAGTGGGGTTGTTCTACAAATTCCAGAAAACCTGAACCAGGAAACTCCTGTATTTACATTCAGTCTCCAGTCAATGGACCACAGTTTTCTTTATGTTCACGGGAAAAGTTATCTTATTCAACATAGGTAAAGGAACACTTTTATTTCTTTTATCTAAAGTTAATATTTACATAATTTCAATTAAGACTTCAGGTTCCTCACTGGAATCATGTCTGTTGCTCATTAATCTCTGAATCGGGAAATTTGTTGTTCACAATGAATAGCTTTGATTTAGAGGTAGAGCATAATTTGAATGATTGGGATAATATGAGATCTAACATGAATGTGAGGAAAAAAAAACATGCAGAGTATTTCACTGGATATATCACTGATGTTCAAATATGGAATTATCGGTTGAATCAAGCAGATTCATTGACTTGGAGCAGTTGTAAATCAACTACAGGAGGAAATGTATTCAATTGGATGAACTATTCCAGCCTTATGAGCAGTGAGGTTAGTTATGCACAGTTGTGCCAAGCTACTCAGCAGAATATAATAATAATATCTGAAAAGTTGTCTCATGACAAAATGTCTAGCTACTGCAACGGAATTGGTGGCTGGATGTACAGATCAGGATCTGTGTTTGATCCTGAGAGAGAAATCATCTTTTCCATGTTTCAAGAATATCCAAAATGCAATGATGAGTCCTACATTTGGACACAGTTCACCCGAAATAACAATAACAAATTTGTCAATGAATTTGGCAACGAAATAGACAGTGAATCATGGGAACTCTTTGAACCAAATGGCGGGTTTTATGAGAATTGTGGTGTACTTTCTTTGGAGACTGGCCAGTATAGTGACAAGGGTTGTTCATTACATTTATGCGGGATTTGTGTTTTAAATGCTAGCAAAACTTACAGTGTACGTGGAGATACAAGTCCTTTTTTGTTTGATAGCATGTTCTACCTTTCAGATACTTATAGAGATGAAAAAGTTGTATTGGAAGGTTTAACTTTTTCAACATTGTATTTTGAAAATTTATCTTGGACAATACGTGATGATAATATTAATTGGAAACTTGAAAAATCCTATTCTCCGTTAGGAAAGCATGTCTGGAAGTTCAATGAGAACTTCAGTGTCCTCATTAGCATTGATTCATGCAACAATATGCAGTACAACTGTGATGATGGTTCCTGCATAGAAATTGAAAAGCGTTGCAATGGAAAATTTGATTGTTCTGATTCAAGTGATGAGGCTAGATGCACAACAATACTCCTTCCTACTTCATATGATAAATCTATTCCTCCCACCGAGGATGATGGAACTCCTCTTATTCTTGATCTCAAGGAGTTAAGTTTAGGAATTAATAACATTGAAGACACTAAATCTCACATTAATATGCAGTTTACATTGATAACAAAATGGAGGGATTCAAGATTAACATTTCTGAACATCAAACCAAAAACAAATTTCTCAATTTCATGGAAAGAATTTGAATCAATTTGGTCACCTAAATTTGCTTTGAGGAAAACCACTGAGGAAAACCTAATTGAAAATCCCAGTTTCAGAAATATCATTGTTACAACAAATGATAATGGAATATCATCTGGTATAACAACTGTAGATCATGCTAAAACCTTTAAAGGAAGTGTTGTGGACATAATTCTACGTCAACTTTATAATGTTAAAATCATTTGCAAATTTGACAAATTACCCACTTACCCTTTTGATAAAAATGAATGCAAATTTGACCTATTCCTCTCGAGCTCAGAGCAAGGTTGGGATTTTAAGGATAGTAACATAAAGTTTGAGAAATCCTTTCATCTTAATCCCACCCCGTATGATGTTCCCCCCTATGAGGTTGAAGAGAATGAGGCGACAATCAAGGAAACTGGGATACTCACCATTTCTTTCAGCTTGAAAAGAAAGTTTACTGGAGTTTTTTTCCAACACATATTACCAATATATCTTCTTACCTGGATTGTGTATACTTCTTGCTTCTACTACAAGCAGATGTTTGAAGCTGCAATCTCGGTGAATGTGACTTGTCTTCTCACAATCTCAGGGATGGTAAATTCCCAATATCAGTATTTACCAGTCACAACAGGTCTTAAGGTTATTGACATCTTCAACATCAAGAGCATTGTTTTAACCTCCTTAGTAATACTTATGCAAACTCTACTTGTAAAGTATAGAAAGGGGTCATGCAACCTGAGAGGTTTGGATTTGATATTGGTCTGGGTTATCCCAATCATTGGTTTAGCTGTGGACTCCTTCTTTCTAGTTTATGGTGTTCTTTATGAGATGGATTTAGTTTAACAAACTTAATATCAATCTACCCTTTTGTGGTTTTAAAGGGTCAAGGACTTCTCATATAACTTTTCAGAAACAGACAATGGACTTTATACACTACAAATGAATTCTGGAAGTTTATAAACACACTTAGTTGCTTATGACTTGATATTTCTGACTGTGGAAACCCTTTTTTCAAATAATCTAAATGTGAAGATGCTTGCTTAATATATATTGTTCCATAAACATGATTATCATAACTAATGGAGACATGAAGTAACATAAATATATCTGTAAATAAGATAAAATAGAAATGTTTTGGATAAATGGTATAAGGTTGCCTTTTTTTATTGGGTTTAACAGGATAAATCTGTCCATTTCCTCCACACACTGTGCACACTAAAAAAATTAGTAGTGAAATTTTTTTTAACTTACAAATATTTTAAATATTTCATCTTTCACACGTATATATTGAAATGTTATATTTAAGACTTGTATTTCTTCAATTGAAATAAATTATTCAATCAAAAAATCTCTTGCTTCTGCAGCCATTTTTCACAAAAGCTCTAATTGAAGCCGGTCTTAATATCTGCCTGAAACACTGTTATCTTCATATTTCTTTTAACATCTTCCAGAAACATAGTTATGTTTATATTTCTCTTAATATCTGCCTGAAACACTGTTATTTTCATATTTCTCTTAATATCTGCACAAAACACTGTTATTATATCTTTTAATATCTGCCTGAAACAATGTTATGATCATATTTCTCTAAATATCTGCCTGAAACATTGTTATCTTCATATTTCTCTTAATATCTTCCTAAAACACTGTTATATTCATATTTCTTTTAACATCTTCCAGAAACATAGTTATATTTATATTTCTCTTAATATCTGCTTGAAGCTCTGTTCTATATGTATTTCTCTAAATATCTGCCTGGAACCCTGTTATCTTCATATTTCTCTAAATATCTGCCTGAAACACTGTTATTTTCATATTTCTCTTAATATCTGCACAAAACACTGTTATCTTCATATATCTTTTAATATCTGCCTGAAACAATGTTATGATCATATTTCTCTAAATATCTGCCTGAAACATTGTTATCTTCATATTTCTCTTAATATCTTCCTAAAACACTGTTATATTCATATTTCTCTTAATATCTGTCTGAAACACTGTTATATTCATAATTCTCTTAATATCTGCCTAAAACACTGTTATATTTATATTTCTCTTAATATCTGTCTGAAACACTGTTATATTCATAATTCTCTTAATATCTGCCTGAAACACTGTTGTATTTATATTTCTCTTAATATCTGCCTGAAACACTGTTATCTTCATATTTCTTTTAACATCTTCCAGAAACATAGTTATATTTATATTTCTCTTAATATCTGTGTCTAGAACACTATTCTATTAATATTTCTCTAAATATCTGCCTGAAACACGTGGTTATCTCCTGTTTCGCAACCTACTGCGATGGCCTAAGTACTCTATTGTACTGTATTCCTCTTGGATGGATCGTAAGTTCCTCTGTCATAAGATCTACTCATATTGAATAAGAACAATCAGAACTTAAGAACTTTATTGCAGAACTTCAACTAGAAGACAATATTTTTAAATTGATCAACTATATCTATGGTTTAACTACAGAACTTAAGAACTTTATTGCAGGACTTCAACTAAAAGACAATATTTTTAGATTGATCAACTATATATATGGTTTAACTACAGAACTTAAGAACTTTATTGCAGAACTTCAACTAGAAGACAATATTTTTAAATTGATCAACTATATCTATGGTTTAACTACAGAACATAAGAACTTTATTGCAGAACTTCAACTAAAAGACAATATTTTTAAATTGATCAACTATATCTATTGTTTAACTACAGAAAAAGCATTAATGAAACAATATTTAAGGTTTAGACGTATTAAACTGTAGATTTATATATTGTGCATAAACTATCAATTTGCATATTTTATTAATTTACACAATAATATCAGATTTAATCAGGTATAAATGATAGCGTAAGTCTTACCACAGTGGTCCTTGGGGAATAAATACACGAACAAAACACTTATCCATGGTAAAAGACTCCTTTAACAGGTGTGTCTACTACCGATAATTGACCAACACTGGGTATAATTGTACAAACTCAAATACTATATACATAAACTAGTTTATGCTCAGAACTTTCTAGAACACAGCTTCAGACGCAGTATGAACTTCAGGGGCAACTTGAAGACCTTGACAGGGGCGACTTGACTTACATCTAGCTCGCGAGATGGGTCGGGAAACATCTCCATAGGCATAATGTTTAAGTGACCCTCCATATACGGATGTCAGTATGAACTATAACATAACAATGTTTATAATTTTGAAAACTTAATATTTTTAATCCAGAAATGGAATTTAAAGAATTTGAGCCGCGATTTAAATCCGCCAAAACCCGCCAAAACCCGGCTTAAATCTTGAAACATTTGATACAATTTTAAGTGGAACCAACCATATTTAAGCCACGGCTTAAATTTAAACCGCCTCTCAAATTCTTTAAATTCGGCCACTGGTTTCTCTGCGTAACTTGCGTAATTCTACTAAAAGAAAACATAGCAATTTTCACAATAAAACATAATCATAAACAACTTCCCCATTTTTGATCAGATAAATGTTTTATGGGTACCATTGTAAATCTGGCATTGCCATCTTTATATGAAGGGTTACTTGAAATTACACATATAGTCCCTTTACTATAAACATATTAATCTTCATAGTTAAAAACCTGACTCAGAGTAGAGTATAAATGCTAGGCAATGTTATGAAGAGATCTATTAGTTATCTCTACACAAAGGACACATTTAGCTTGACGTAGTGTAGAGGTTTCTATTTTATAATCTTCAGGGGAATTTTCCCAGTAAGCCAATGGATCGAGGAAGAAAAGTAAGGGGGGGGTGGTGTAACGTCCTTAAATCTAAAATCTCTAGATACTTTTTTTAAAAACTGCAATATAATTTTTAAAAATTGTAGTTTTTACCAAGATAAAGAGGAATAAGGGCCCAGAGACTCTTTTAAAATCATATATTATAATTTTAGACATTCTAACCTAAATTTGGACTTATTAATTTGTAACTTTTACTGTGTCTTGAATTTAAAAACCACACCCAAAATGTTTCCAGAAATTAAGTTGAACTGATTTCAAAATATTTAATTTTAAAGGGCCTTTGTAACAACATCAGATTTTGCTTTAAAATTACGTTTTTTTCAGAGAAAATGTCCAATTTATCCAGTTAAACACTTTCCATCAGACACCATTGCAGGGTAGGGAATTCTGGAATTCTCAGGGTAGAGCTTGAGACTTGAAAATGGAGGGGGGGGGGGAGGGACAAACGCACATTTGTAGGGTTAGAGTAAAATAGGAGAATAAAATTGGTAGGGTAGGGTTGAACAAGAGAACAAGAGGAGAAGATATGAATATAGGGTAGGGTTGAACAAGAGAACAAGAGGAGAAGATATGAATATAGGGTAGAACAAGAAAACAAGAGGAGTAGATATGAGTATAGGGTAGAACATGAAAACAAGAGGAGTAGATATGAATATAGGGTAGAACAAGAGAACAAGAGGAGAAGATATGAATATAGGGTAGAACAAGAAAACAAGAGGAGTAGATATGAATATAGGGTAGAACATGAAAACAAGAGGAGTAGATATGAATATAGGGTAGAACAAGAAAACAAGAGGAGTAGATATGAATAAAGGGTAGAACATGAAAACAAGAGGAGTAGGTATGAATATGGGATAGAACAAGAGAACAAGACGAGTAGATATGAATATAGGATATAACAAGAGAACAAGAGGAGTAGATATGAATATAGGGCAGAACAAGAGAACAAGAGGTATAGGTATGAATATAGGGTATAACAAGAGAACAATAGGAGAATATATAAATATAGGGTAGAACAAGAGAACAAGCGGAGTAGATATGAATATAGGGTAGAACAAGAGAACAAGAGGAGTAGATATGAATAAAGGATAGAACAAGAGAACAAGAGGAGTAGATACGAGTATAGGATATAACAAGAAAACAAGAGAAGAATATATGAAAAAGGATAAACCAAGAGAACAAGAGGAGTATATATTAGAAATGTATGTAGAAGAGAAGAAGAGTGATTATGAGTACAGAAAGGATGAATTAGCTCTAGGATAAAAGATATATCGTCTCGTAATTCTAGTCATTAGTACACTCTTCTTACCCTAACCTAGGTCAGATATTAGAACGGTACAACAATGATGATATAAATAGATTAACTGGTTTTTGCAGTTTATGATGTTGATAAATGTTTTAGGCCTGAATATACAGGGCTATCAAGCATATTAGTTTGACCTTGATTATAATAAAGTGATGCATTTACAACTCTTTATTATACATTGTCTGGTCAAACGTTTGATGGCTCAATAGGGATTGTCTTATAGCGACGTTTCAATACCGATTCACTACTGTATTCTGTGAACCTTTTAATAAAAACCTAAGATTTGGACTTATGCCCTTATGCATTGTTTATTTCTTCATTTGTTGTTTTTTCGTTTTTCATTGAATATTTAATCTTAAAGGGAGTGTTCGCGAAAAATGAAATGGGGTAAAGGCTTAATGCGATAAAAAGCGCTTTAGATCGCTACTAATCTTACTTCTATCTGTTGCGTCTTTAAGGAAAAAATTGTTAAAGACGTCTCAAACCGAAGAACGTAGCGCCCATACAAATTGAGAAAATTGCAACATACGACTTAGACCGTAAAAAAATTCAATTTAATTTCAAACAAATCATTCAGATATTACAACCTATAGTCATCGATTATCTTTCGCCACATTTGTATATAGTTTATATTTTATAATATTTTTTTGATTAATATTTTTTTAATAAGTTTTTTATATTTATTTTTTTAGAAAACGTTTTTAACGGATTCCGAAAAATGTGAGTGGTGCGCGGCATTCTTAGATAGTTGTGCAAGCGACAAGAGAAAAATTCAAAACAAATTGGTAAAAATATTATAAAATATAAACTATATAAAAATGTGGCGAAAGATAATCGATGACTATAAGTTGTAATATCTTAATGATTTGTTTGAAATTAAATTAATTTTTTACGGTCTAAGTCGTATGTTGCAATTTTCTCAATTTGTATGGACGCTACTTTCTTCGGTATGAGACGTCTTTAACAATTTTCTCCTTATAGACGCAACAAATAGAAGTAAGATTCGTAGCGATCAAAAGCGCTTTTATCGCATTAAGCCTTTCATTTTTAGCGAACACTCCCTTTAACGTTATCTTACTTGAAAATATATGGGGCGATCAAGCCATTATATATATACATATATATTCCATTTTCCGTTTAAAACGCAAGTTGAGCCTGGTTACAGGGGATAAGCCAATTTCGCAATCTT